GGCATTCGAAGTTTCTGGAACGGAGTTGACGTCGCCTCAAGCATGCTAAGGGTCAAATTTTGACATTCCCACACGAGTCCCCGAAGGGTCCTTCATTCGTTGTTGCAGACGGTAGCATGCGCTACTCCTGCGCTTCAGATGATTGATGATAGCCTAGATGAGCCTTCACCACCATTGGCCGAATCGAATTTGAGCGTTGTTCAGATCCCGGGGAGAGCCGTGGGATTCCTGAGTTTGACCTCGGCACCTCAAGAACAGTTTGTCCCAAATGCTATGGAGGAATACCAACCACAAACTTGCTTTTCAAGCAGAGCACAACAGCGGTATCCTGCCGCCTAAAGCAGCAACCCTTGTTTGGGAAGGGGTGGAAGACATTGTCTGCATTTTTTCATATCACAGCGTAATTCTCGGGATACATGCACAACTAAGTGATGACTCGTCAGATACAATTCTGACGCTGACTTCCAGGACCCTCAATATCTCAGAAAGCCGCTTAGGTTTTCTTGAGTTTCCCACTGTTTAGTTCTAGTCTACAGGTGTTGCGTTGAGGCCCAAGCAAGTTTAGATGTTTTGATTCTATCACGCAGGCTTTGTTAAGCTACTGCAGAAAGACATCGTGGATCTTTCATAGGCAAGTACCTGTATGGGTACCTTTGTGAATGTTTCTAGAACGCAAACATGGACCAGATTTGAAGCTCACGACTCATCTGTCATAGGGGTTATGCACTGTTGTGCTTAGGAACCTTCGGGAACCTTCAGGAGCCTTGAGTAACCTTCGCAGCACAGCCCGCGAGCTAAGCATTACTTTGAAGCGGAGCTAAGGCGCATTCACGTATGCACCCTTGGTCTGCTAAAGGGTTCAAAAGCGCTGATGGCAGCCTTGGGACGGCAAAAGGTTTGCTCTTGAGAGGCAATTGGCCGCCCTGTGAGCGTCGGATCGGCAGGTAAGCACCTGTTAATACTGGATCTCATCAGCCGCGGGCTCAGTGGGTGCCCGTCCAAATGCCTTCCGGAGCCAGGACTTTCCTTGTGTTATCTTGAGATTCGCCGGGTTTCTCGCACGGTTTCGGAAGGGATAGTCAAAACGCCGGGGTCCAAAGACTGAATTGAGGACCTGCTTTGTGATCAGACCAGAGGGAGGCTTGAGATGTCCAAACACCCTAGACCCCGAGCTAACTGGTTGCTTGAAGTCGAACACCTCTTGACATGCTCTCCGAGTTATTGGGATGTTCTTCCATTCTTGCATTCCTCCATTCCTCCATTCCTCCATTCTTCCTTCCTTCCTTCCTTCTTTCCTTCCTTCCTTTGTTTCTTGTCTCATTTCTTTGTTTGTTTCTTCCTTTCTTTCTTTCTTCCTTTCTGTTTTTCTTCCTTCCTGTTCCTGTTTCTTCTTCCTTCCTGTTCCTTCCTGCTTCTCTCTCCTTATCTCTATGTTTTACACACACATCTCTTTTGAAGAAAAACCTGATACGATGCTTCCGAAGCCTCGAGCTGCGCTGTTGGATTCGCTTTTGGTGGGACCAATCCTGTCTGCCTTGAGTCCCCCGAGCCACTGGTTTGCTACCCCCAAGACGCATTAGGGATCTCAGTCGATTCCAAAAGCCACGGTGACCCAACATAAAAAACATAACAGGGCTCCAAAAAGAGGATCTCCATTTTGCAACCAGTTGAAACATGTTGCTTTTTCAACACCAAAATAAAGGGACACCACCATGTACAAGTTGCAATGTTCAGGTGTATAATTATAAGGATCCCTGATAAATGTGGGGAACTGCAGGCATGTTTTGTGTTCTTTGCCATCCGTACACCCCTAGGCATTGGGCCTTCGATGCCGGTGCGGAACCACATGAAGTTCGGCAGTGCATCGCCGGCCTTCAGCAGGGTGAAAACCGGATCCACTTCGCGCCTCGGATGGGAAAGTCTTGATGCACAGTTAGACGGGCGGACGTGTTTCTGATGGGTATCAAATACCACCAACAACATATGTGCAGGTGACGAAATCGGGCGCATTGCCAGTCATGCACGGGAATGCTTTTGGCAGGCATATATGATTGGACCTTCAGCCGGCTGGAAAATCGTCCGGCAAATTCATGAAACTTCCGGAGTGTTCGGGGTGCATCATCACCAGGTCCTTGCTGGAGGATGTGGCGCTGGGCAACAATTTACCTGTGAGGCGGGGGGTATTGTGCTGGATGGTTGTGGGTCTCGTTGGGCTTAGGGCGACTTGCAGATGTGCACAAAAGACACATGCGCACACACACACACAAATGCATATGTGCGATGGAAAGGCTAAAGACATATTTAGCACCTTGACCAGAGGGTATTTGTTCAGGCCCTTTGCGGGGCATGGCAAACGCGAGGGGGTGGCTTCCATTGTTTTGGCGGTGGCTGGTTTGATCATGGGTGATATTTTTGGGTTATCAATATTTATGCAAGACTACCTGCAACACTGCCCAAACGACGGACGACGGCGCTTTGGGTTGGCTTGCAGTGAGGCGTG